CATATCACCCTATGCGAAGTAGTAAAGCCACTAATATAAAAGGGGTTACTGAGTGTGACATAATAAGGAAAACGAGAGACTATTAAGGGCCGAGAACAATAGAAGATGAATCAGAAAGCCATTAGATTAAGTTTGGTTGAAAATGAAAGATGGCTGGAAAGCATGAAACCGGAAGATAGTTACACGAACGAGAAATGCGTGATAAGAAACTGTTAGGATAGAACTTCCGGTTACACGTAGTCTATTCAACTGTGAATTAATGCAACTTTGCCGCCAATCTATAAGTACGATTAAATTCGTAAATCTATGTACCATTCGCGAAGAATTCATTCGAACAATTACCGTGAAAGTATTTATGCAAACAGCACAGGAAAGCTACATTACGAAGACGCCAAGTTAGGACCTATAATATTGCTGATTCTTTGGATTTTATAAATATTTTTTAATTATACAGTTTAGCCCTAAAACATATGTGGCAGCAGTAGACAAAAAATTGGACGCATGGTAGACTTATAAATGTGTAACGAGGATTCTGTAGAGAAAAAAATGTTTTGCAAGACATAGTGACACAGATTTCTTTAGCAGCGGATATAGTAAATGGATTTAATATAATTTTACCACTTATATTAACAGAGAATATAACACCGTTGTGCAATGATTCTCTCTCTCTCTCTCTCTCTCTCTTTCTTCACACACACACACACACACACACACACACACACACATATATATATATGTGGGGGGTATATATATATATATATATATATATATATATATATATATATATATATATATGTGTGTGTGTGTGTGTGTGTGTGTGTGTGTGGGGGGGTGTATGTGTATGCATGTGTGGCAAAAATGGAAAAATCTTCCTTGAGACGCGTTTCATCCTTCAAAACATCATCGCACTAATTTTTATTTAGAAGTACTAAACATACGTACGGCAGAAGGGATGCTGGGAAATTAGTGTTTTTTTTCTCTCTTGCCGATTTTTTTCATTTCCTTTATGTAACTTTTGTAAGTAAGTTTTCCATACTGCGATATTAGAAGATCTGTCAGAAATGGTAAAATTTTAGATAGCCAGACCTCAATTTACTGAAGATCATCTTGCGATTATCGCACTCCCTAGACATTTACATCGTGTTGATTATATATATATATATATATATATATATATATATATATATTTTGAAGATATTTTAAGATATTCTGTAGAGGATATATGTTCGAATCATGTCGGAGGAGGAATATTTTCTATGAAAACTTCTCGGACATTCAGGCTGGCAAATGTTGTTTAATACTGTTTATTATAAACAGAGCATTTACTTGAATATGTGTACCTACAAAAAGAATGTATAAACAGAAAAATGTCTTATATATATATATATATATATATATATATATATATATATATATATACAATCATAATATATATATATATATATATATACAATCATAAATATATATATATATATATATATATATATATATATATATACAATCATAAATATATATATATATATATATATATATATATATATATATCAGAATGTAGGAAAGAAAAGGGGGGGCAAAAATAGAAGCATGTAGATTATTTTATTTATTTTTATTTATTTACAAGAATTATTTAGGGAATTTAATAATATATATATATATATATATATATATATATATATATATATATATATATATATAAGGGAGACAGGAACGAAAGAAAGGTACAAAGTTCAAAGACAATTTCAAGGAAAGTTCGAAAGAAATATATCTGAAAAAATGAATAAAGAAAGTCTGGACAGGCATATTTGAAACTGAAAGAAAGAAAGAAAGAAAGAAAGAAAGAAAGAAAGAAAGAAAGAAAGAAGAGAACAATTCGGAAATGTGCGAAAAAATAAAAGAATTTACATGAAGAAAAAAAATAATAAAAGTAACAAGTCATGAAAGAAATAAAAAGAAAGAAAAAGATGAAACTAAATAAATAAAGAAGGAAAGAAGGAAGTAACGAAAGGACGAAAGAAAGTCTGAAAGAAAGAAAGGCTAAATGAATAACAGAAGAAGAGGTAAATTTATGAACTGAAAGAGAAAAAACGAAGAAAACGCAACACAGTTGAAAAGAAGAGAAAAGAAACTATCAAGAATTAATGAAAGATATGAAAATGGAGGAAATGAAAACGTACAAACAAGATATCATAATCAAGAAATTTCTTTTAAATAGGAGTAGGGCTTTATCACTTCTTTCTTAATTAGAATTAGGTTTCTGGTTCCTTTAAAATTCTACTTCAACTCTACACCTCTAAGAATTCCGCCTAAACTCTGAAATTTTACTTAGTATACATTTTCTGCTGTATAGAATTAGATACGCTCATCTATTCTCCCTGATCTTTAGGGCAGTAGAGGTTTATTCTTTGTTTATTGTTTAGGACAGGTTACGTGTTTCATTCTCTTTCTCTCCCAGAAGCTCATTGTGTCTTAATAGTATTATCATCTTGCTTGCGGTGAAATTATTTTTAGAAGGAAACAGACAAAAATGAAAAAAAAAAAATGAAAAAGAAAGAAAGAGACAAAACTGTATATAAAGAAATTATCCTTGATAAAGCTCTGAATAAATTCATGATATAACGTGTGTATTTATTATCATTAAATATTTTCTTTCTGTCTATTCCATGTTGAATTCGTCTCGCTTCGTTCGATCGGTCAGTGGATAAGTCTTCAAAATTTACCTGCCAATTAGCAGAATAAAATTTATGGCAATATTCTACGAAGAAATATCTGTCAATTTAGATGCCTTATCAATTATTAAGATACATTTGTGGGCGTATTTAATAATTTGTGTATTGCAGTTTGTTTTAGACTGACAACATCGGTAAACGTGTTACAATCACAGGAATAAACGCATCTAGAGAATAGCCTCAGACTAGGGCATGATTCGTAAAAAAGCACTAATTTCACGAAAAAACTGTCCACGGATATACAAAATGTTTCATACTTGAGTAATCTGTATATCTATAAAGTGTATCTTTAAATATAACGCACGCACACATACACATATATAGAAAGCGAAAGAAAGAGAGAGAAAGTTAAACAAACAGGAGGGGGAGTAGAAACAGAACAGGTACCGGTTACAGGTTTTCATCGAAAACCGTGGAAGAACAACATCGAGTTTAAATTGCGACCTGGATAATCTAGATATTTCATTCAGCCGACTCCAAATCAATAATCTATTCATAGGTCTTGTCATAAATTCGTTTGCACACACACACACACACACACACACACACACATATATATATATGTGTGTGTAGGATAGATTCTGCGGGGGAAAAGTGTTTCGTACGATACAGTGAAAAAAACTTTATTAAAAGCTGTCCTAGCAATGGATTCACTATAGTCTTTCCACTTCATGTCAGCCGAGAAAGTTAGCCAGAGGTGCAACAAGTCTCTTTCCTAGTGGTTAGCATCAGCCATACTGAACAGAAACAGAAATGGATTTATCAGATGATTAAATGGGAGAAGATTAGTTTTGGAGGCGTTTTGGAGAGAAAGAGAGAGAGAGAGAGAGAGAGAGAGAGATTAATAGATTAATTTTAATGCAATATTTTAATTATTTCCACTAGGAATAACGGTTGAGGTAATATACGTAGATATATATATATATATATATATATGTAATGCTACGAACGTTGGAATTGTAATCTATTCTTTCTCATCGTACCTGGATATATATATATATATATATATATATATATATATATATATATATATATATATGTATCAGATGTCGCACATTGAGTTCTGGTGTTAACAATAAAGAGCTGGATGTAATAAAGCAGAACTATTAAGTCTATATTAATGCATATACATATTATCCTGCACCGACAACACGACTCGGAGTTTCATGCACAACGCAATCCTCAGGTGTGAGGTAGAGGCTGACTGTTACATAACTTAAATTTTAATAAAAAAAAATATCTGGTTAGCGCAATGCTGGCGCATATATTATATGGGGATTAGGGTTTATATATATATATATATATATATATATATATATATATATATATATATATATATATATATTATGTATGTATGTGTGTGTATGTATACAAATAAAAAAGAAAGAGCAGTAAGATATATAATCCGGTGTTCTTATAGATATTTTATTTTACAAAATAGTACTCGATGTAAATTTACAGAGCATTATTATAAATTAATTGATTTAAAATATGTTTTTTTCCGCTACACAGTTTTAACCATGTTCGAAACATGTTTGAAACATGGTTAGAACTGCGTAGCGGAAAAACACATATTTTAATCAATTAATTTATATATATATATATATATATATATATATATATATATATATATATAGATAGATAGATAGATAGATAGATAGAGAGAAAGAGATAGATAGATAGATAGATAGATAGATAGATAGATAGTATTTAAAATAAACATATGTATATCGTATGTTGAAAGTATACGGTAATTATTTTATTTATATTTGAGAAAACCGAGATTGATATATTTAAAAAAAAAAAAAATATATATATATATTCAAACTGGCTGGCCTAAAACTATATATATCTATAAAATATTTAGAGTCGGCATTTATTATGTATATAAAATATAAACTGGGTTTTAAAAGAAAAAGATACATAACATCCGACCGAGCTAAAACCATGAAATCAAAACAGAAAATTATAAGCCAAAATAAAAAAAATATATATATATATTTAGTGTTATAAATCTATTATGAAAAGAAAAAAATATTTTTATATTTAAGATAGGCGGGATTTATTTTATATATTTAAGATAAACAGGAACTAAATGTTTTGTTTTATTTTATATTACAAATAAACGGGCATTAATTGTATTTTTTTTATAAAAATAAATGGACCTAAAAAAAATAGACCTGAAAATAAAATATGCCCGACATAAGGTAAATGAACACATGAAAATAAGAAAGGAAAGGTTATATTTTGCGGTAAAAATGAATCTTTACAATGGCATTTCAGAATATATTTATTTTTATGCCTACATGTGACAATCAATTGATTTCTTATATTTAATAAGATAGTATTAGCCAATATAGATATTCAAAATATTTAAAAGGAGGAACATTACTAACTCTACTGTTTTTATTTATTTTATTTATTCTAGCTCTACATAGCGGATTGAGCACTCAACGTTTTAGTCTTACTATTTGCTTCTTTGTTTTTTGTTTAGAGTAAAGACCGAAGGCACTGGGCGATTTGTTTCGCCTTCTTCAAATGGTTTTAGGTCTTTCTTTTTTCAAATATTTTTTGCTCAGGTACCGATGTTTTTTGCCATATCTACAAGTTGTGCTGTCTGAGGTTTTATTCCAACTGAGTATTATATATATATATATATATATATATATATATATATATATATATATATATATATATATATATATATACGCACATAAATTGTCGTTTTACTTACGCAAAATTGAAAATAACACTAACATCTCATTTAGCATTTCTTTCTGCGTAGACTGGTTGCCAATCAAGGCTAAAGAACCCCGTCTGTCCTGCTATTCAAACCATAGCTTGGAGGAAAAGAGAAGGACTCATACCTTTCCCAATGTTATTTGTGCTTAAGTGAATCCAACGGACTCGACTGGAATTGGAACTCGGCTCTCCGATTTCTCAACAGTGTAAACCTAAATACCATGAATTTGCATCTATAATGTTTAGTCAAATTGTAAGGTAATTTCAATATGTTTTATGAAAATATATATATATATATATATATATATATATATATATATATATATATATATATATATATATATATACAAGTATAGATTGGTGTATACTTGTGTTTTGATTGGTCATTCTAGCTTTTGCAAAAGCGTTTTCCCATTGCGAAGAAACGTTTAAAACCATTTCTTTTACATTCAACATCATCACTTGATAAGACACCGGAGGTGTTGAAACAAAATGCCTATTTTTTAGTGATTTTTATAACATATCTATGTTATAATTTTTTAATAAATAATTACATATATATATTTCAGAAAGAAATAAAATAAAAAAAAATAAATAAATCTCAATGGACACGTAAACCAGACTAGGCGAAAACATCTTCCGTTTAAATTTAGACACCCCCACCTGACTTGACATCTATGAATGTAACTCTATACTGATACAAATTATTAACACTCGACACCCCTTCCTATTTAAACAATCGCTCTGGCTGTTACCATGGAAATTTCGATTTCAATAATGAATATGCCATTAAAACACGTAAATTTCAGAAATAAGTTATTCCAAAAAAAATTTCGCTTGGAGATGGAACAGAGCTTACTTTAATTCAATTTAATTCAAATAATTATATTGAAGTTTTCGGTTCTTGTTTTGAAATATGAGACCTCTTATGTAGCGTGTTGGAATCATATTTTTAAATAAATAATATATATATATATATATATATATATATATATATATATATATATATATATATATATATAGGATTCGTGTATACTGAATAAATTCCAATAACCAAAAATTTCTATTCTTAAAACAGTTCTCAATACAGAGTAGACCTTATATAATTATTTATTCAAAAATTTTAATATAAATATGTTATAAAATTACTACTAAAATAGTCATTTTGTTTCAACACCTCTGGTATAGAGATTCTATATTCAACATCATCACTTGATAAGACACAGAGAGGTTTTGAAACAAAATGGCTATTGTTTAGTGATTTTATAAATATATATATGTTATAGTTTTCGAATAAATATATATATATATATATATATATATATATATATATATATATATATATATATATATATATAGGTAACTATACTGTTTGAAAAACCTTCGAATTTTTGATTTGCCAGTAATCAAATCAATCTCGAAGGAAAAAGGTATTTAAAAAAAAAAAAGAGCAAGAAACATGAAAGTCTGTCGAAAAAAATCGCACAGATATAGGTTTGAAGCCCAAAGAAAAAGCCCGACACGAGTAAACAACTAACTAACTAAAGAGCTCAATACAACCGTAGAGCAGACCTAGTGAAATCTTTCCCTGACGCTTAGGTGAAATCTGGGTAGGTTTGTCTGGCTCACTAGGTTTATCTATCTATCTATCTCTTTCTCTCTCTCTCTCTCTCTCTATATATATATATATATATATATATATATAAAAAGTGAACATAGAAGTCAACACTTAGAGGCGACAGTCTGTTTCATGCTATATGCAATCGTCAGGCCACATATGCTGTTATTTTATCTCGGCTATTTATATATATATACGGGTTAGTGGTGCATTGTGGGTAATCTATTATGGCGGTTATTTTTTACCGGAAGTCGCTTTGTTTATTTATTTGGGTCAAATTATATTGCTCGTTTTTTATTTTTTTGTTTCTTATTTTATTTATTTATTTATTAACATAGTAAAAATTGTTTATATCACGTATTTAACAGTTTTGTTTTGGTTTTAATTAAAGCTATTTGTTCAATTTTTGGGGTTGGTTGTTGTTGTTCATTCTAACTATTATTTTTTTGGCGGGGACAGTTTTTAATTTGGGATTGGTTTGTCTATTTACTTGGATGAATTTAGGTCAATTTATTTGTATATTTTCTCTTTTCGGTTTTCGGTTTTTAAGCAACATAGTATTTATTTATTTATTTTATTTTATTTTATTTTATTTTTTTATTAGTGTCTTTGTTTGTTTTTATTTTATTTTTTCCGTTTTCCATTTTTTAGGTTACGTAGTAAAAATTTATTTTCATGCCTGCATTTTCAGATGAGCTCGGATCTTTTATTTAACAATTTATTTTGGTCGGGGAAAGTAATGATAGCTATTTTTTCCTCCAAGCAAAGTTTGCAAGTTTTTGATTGGTTGTTGTAGGTGATGACTTTTTCCTTATCTTCCAAGATATTTTTGGTGTGATGTGTGTTTTGTTTTTTATTTCCCAGATATACTTAGAAAGCATAGTGCTGTTCGCGTATTTACTATTTGTGAACGATGTTTTGTGTATATATATATATATATATATGTAAGTTTCCTTAAAAGCATGCATATGTTTGGACATAATTATTTTTTATATTAATCATTCCCTCATCTTTATTAATTATTCTGAATTGAAATTTGAATTG